ATATTCATTCTTTTGTTTCTCTGAAAGCCTCAATGTTGTCTCTACCTCTGTACCTGAAGCACCCAGTTCTGCACATGGCAAACTCCTATATAACCCTCAAAGCCCAACTCAACATGTTGTCATCTCAGGGAAGCAAGCCTTCACTGACTCTCCAGGCAGAATGACTCCTCTGTACACCCACAAAAGCTTGTGCTTCCCCCATCCCAGCACATACTCAGACATCGATTGAGAATCTGTTGTGTAGAGGTACTACTCTGGGTCCCAGGGCTACCAGGTAAAGTCCCTGACCTCATGGACCTCACAGTCTCCTAGCAGAGACAGAATTTTAAATCATCTTATGGATAATATAAATTTTGGAGAGTCATGCACACTATGAGAAAAGTCCTAATAAAGCATAGTAAGGGAGTGGCGAGTGATGACAGCTAGTATATTCCATAGGGTGGTTTGGAAAAACCAACCTGAGAAGATAATCAAGCCAGAACCTGAATGAACGGAGGGACGGAATGGGGATATCTGGGAAAGCACATTCCAGGCAGCAGGAACAGCAGATGCAAAGGCCCTGAAGCAGGAGTGGGCTGGCGTGTTTGAGAAAGGGCATGGAGGCCATTGTGGGCAGAGCTGAGCAAACAAGGGTGAGAGTGCAGGAGGTAAGGGCAGAGCAGGACTGAGGGTCAGATGATTCATAACTTTGTGGGCAACTGAAAGGACTTCAGCTTTTGCTCCAAGTGAGATGGGAGGGTTTTAACCCAATTTGACTTGGGTTTTAGCAAAACCACTATATACAGTAATTGGTGTTTATGTGGCTGTGACAGAGACAATGGGTTCACAAACACTAGTGCCTTTTCCCACAGCTAAACTACATTTCCCAGACTCCTCTGCAGTTACATGTGATCACATGACTAAGTTCCAGCCAATGGGATGTGAGCAGACCTGCTAGTTGCCACTTCCAAGCCAGACACATACAGCCCCCTCACTCTTTCCCTTCCACCATCTGCCAGCCAGATGCAGAGAATCCAGCAGCAAATTCTGAAGCCCTAGAAAATGGCAGCGCCACAAAATGGAAAAAGCCTGGATTCCCCAAATCACTGGGTGGAAGGCTGCTGTTGAACACCCACGCTGAAATGTTACATGAGTGAGAAACTTCTATGATGTCTCTGGGTGTTACCCAGGCTAATATGGCATCTGTCTCCTTCCTAGCCCAGGAAAAGCTCAAGCCTAGAAACAAGATCTGCTTCCCCAAGTTCCCAGTATCCACCACAAAGCCTGGTGCACACTAGACACTCAGAAACGTTCGATGAATGAATAAATGATGTCTTAGAGTTTCTCTGACCTTCCCAACCCACAACCTCATGACCTTCCTATTCCTTTATGCTAAGAGTTGTCAAAATGTGGTCCCAGCAGCATCAACATCACCTGGGAGCTTATTAAACTCAAATTCTCACCCAGCTGGCATGGCTCAGTGGTTGAGAGTCGACCTATGAACCAGGAAATCACAGTTCGATTCCCGGTCAGGGCACATGCCCGGGTTGCAGGCTGGATCCCCAGCATGGGGTGTGCAGGAGGCAGCCAGTCAATGATTCTCTCTCATCATTGATGTTTCTACCTCTCTCTCCCTCCCACTTCCTCTCTGAAATCAATAAAAATAAATATTTTTTTTTAAATTCAAATTCTCAGGCCCCACACCAAACCTACTGAATTAGATATTCTGAGGGTGACACTCAGCAATCTGTGTGTGTGTTGTTGTTTTTTTGTCTTATTTTAAATATGTATTTAAATATTTCTTTATTGATTTCAGAGAGGAAGGGAGAGGGAGAGAGAGAAACATCAATGATGAGAATCATTGATTGGCTGCCTCCTGTACGCCTCCTACTGGGGATCGAGCCCACAACCCAGGCATGTGCCCTTGGCCAGAATCGAACCAGGGACCCTTCAGTCTACAGGCCAACGCTCTATCCACTGAGCCAAACCGGCTAGGGCAGCAATCTGTGTTTTAACAAGCCCTCCATGTCATTCTGATAGATGCTATTTTGAGAACCACAACTGTATGCTTTCCCTTCCTATAACCCTCTGCATTCCAAAACACCCACAGCAACTATCCCAAAATTGGACTTACAGAGTCAACTGCATCCGGGGGTTCCACAAAGGCCGAGAATTCCACCAGCTGTAACCGGGCAGTGCCCAGGGCCCGAGCCTGCCAGGCTGGGGGTGACGGGGCAGGTGGGGGCAGGGCAGGGGGTGAGAGGGCTTGGGGGGGCTCGTACCCTAGAGAGAGAAGAACAAATAATAAAAATTGCTAACATTTATGGAATATATCAAGCACTGTTCTCTCTTGCCTGCCTCCACTTAGAAGCTGAAAAAGCTAAATACTCACTTTCCCAGCCTCCCTTGCAGCTAGAGGTGGCCATGTGACACAGTCCTGGCCAATGAGACGTTAGGGGAAATCTGCTCGGGGGCTTCTGGGAAGGAGTTTCTTCCTGAATGAAAAAGACAGAACTTTGGGAGGAGAAAGCTTTTGGTTCTGGTCAAGTCCTGCTTGGGACATGGTGCCTGGAGTCACAACAGTCATCTTGGGACAGGAAGATCGAGGCCAAGGGACCTAGAGAGATGCTAGTCCTGATATCGCTGAGGTGCTGAGCCAGCACATAGGCAGCCCACCTTCAGACTTTTTGTTATGTGGAATCATTAAAGCCAGCGGTTCTCAGCCTGTGGGTCGCGACCCCTTTGGGGGTCGAACGACCCTTTCACAGGGGTCACCTAAGACCATCGGAAAACACATATATAATTACATATTGTTTTAGTGATTAATCACTATGCTTTAATTATGTTCAATTTGTCACAATGAAAAGACATCCTGCATATCAGATATTTACATGACGATTCATAAAAGTAGCAAAATTACAGTTATGAAGTAGCAACGAAAATAATTTTATGATTGGGAGTCACTACAACATGAGGAACTGTATTAAAGGGTCGCAGCATGAGGAAGGTTGAGAACCACTGATTAAAGCCTTTTCATTTCTGGCACTATTAATTTGGGTCTTGTTACTTGCAGCCGAAAGCATTCCTAATTGATGAATCTGTGGAACCTAGGTGTAATTTTTCATCAGTGTGAGGACCACATCAGCATGGACTTCTGGAAGCCATCTTTGCTGCCAAAAGGAATGGGACAGAGCCTGCCTGGGAATGAAGCCACCAGAGGAAGGCAGAACCAAGCAAGTCCTGATGCTACCATTGGAGCCCCTAGATCCAGCCATACCTGAAGCCATAACCCCTGAAATATCAGTTACCTGACCCAATAAACTCCATTTTGTTGTTTTCTTTGTTGTTTTTGTCATCTAGCTTCACTTGGGTTTCTGTCACTTGCAGCTGAAACAACCTTGAGTAATACATCTCCCTATGTCCTTTAGGCTAGCAAGTGGCAGAACACAAACCCGGCGTGTGTGGCTACAGAGGCCATGATCTTAACCACGACAAATTCTGTCACATCCTTCCATACCTCCACACACCCTGCCTCAGAGCTGGACCTCAGTAGGAATGTGACCCTGATTCATGGGAGGTTGAAGGAAAGGCAGTTAGGGTTGACAAGAGAGATGGGAGAGGAGGGAGGGTGGAGAGCAGACTCTTACCTGGGAGGTCAGTAGATGGGGGAGTCAGTGACAAGGAGAACGGTGTCTGCGAGAATGGCTTCACACTGAGGGAGAAAGGAAGCTGAGGGTGAGCAGGTGGAAGGATTCTAATCGTACCAGCTACCTTTACTGAGGCACCAGGACAAGCTGGACCCTGTGCTAGCACATGATGTGCACTTTTTAAAAAATATGTTTTACCTTTTAGAGTGGAGAAAAGTTAGGGTTTGGGTTAGAGATCGGCTGCCTCTTATACACCCCCCCCCATTGGGGATCAAGCCTGCATCAAACCGGTGACTCAACCAATGACCCACACACCAGCTCAGCACATTATGTGCACATTTTATTTTATGTTTTTAATGTATTTTTATTGATTTCAGAGAGGAAGGGAGAGATAGAAACATCAATGATGAGAGAGAATCATTCATCGGCTGCCTCCTGGAGGCCCCACAATGGGGATACAGCCCACAACCCAGGCATGTGCCCGGACCGGGAACCGAACCATGACCTCCAGTTCATAGGTCCATGCTCAACCACTGAGCCACACCGGCCGGGCTATGTGCACATTTTAATAGAAGCCTCACAGCCTATGGGGTAGGTGTGATTACTGCTCTTCTCATTTGCCCAGGGGTAGCTGACCCACCCAGTCACACAGCTGTGGAGCCTGGGCTCAAACCAGGTCAGTCCCAACCATGGAGCCTGGGGTCTTGGTGATAGTTTAGTACCTCTCACAAAATGGCAGAAAGAGAACAGAAATGGGGTCTCTTGGGTGAGGAGACTAGGAAATCTGGAGAAAGAGGAGGAAAGGGTCAGGAGGGGGGGAGGAAATGACCGGCAGCCCAGAAATGGGACTGGTGAGCCCAGAAATCAGACCAAACTTTGGGGTGAGGCGGCAGCACAAAATCCAAAGCAGTGCGTCCAACAGAACTTTCTGCAATAAGGAAAGTGTTCCCGCCAAAACCGGTTTGGCTCAGTGGATAGAGCGTTGGCCTGCGGACTGAAAGGTCCCAGGTTCGATTCCGGTCAAGGGCATGTACCTTGGTTGTGGGCACATCCACAGTAGGAGATGTGCAGGAGGCAGCTGATCGATGTTTCTCTCTCATCGATGTTTCTAACTCTCTATCTCTCTCCCTTCCTCTGTGTAAAAAAATCAATAAAATGTATTTAAAAAAAAAAAAGAAAGTGTTCCCTATCTGCGCCGCCCAGCACTGTGGCTCCTGAACACGCGACATGTGACTACTGAGCAGGAATGTGGCTCAGGTGTCTGAGCGATTGAAGGTTTAATTTTATTGCATTTGCGTTAACTTCAATTTCAATAATCACCCGTGGCCAGTGATGGTAGTTATCTGATAGCATAGAGACCAATAACATATGGGCATCCCAGATGGTGGTGAGACTGAGAGGTCAGAGGTCAAGGAGACATGATGAGGTCAGAGGTCAGTAAGAGGTCAAGAGTCCAAAGATCAAGATCAGAAAGACACAGCCCGGCTGGTGTGGCTCAGTGGTTGAGCATCAACCTATGAAGTAGGAGGTCGTGGTTTGATTCCCAGTCAGGGCACATGCCCAGGTTGTGGGTTCAATCCCCAGTAGGGGGCCTGCAGGAGGCAGCCCATCAATGATTCTCTCTCATCATTGATGTTTCTATCTCTCTCTCCTTCCTTCCTCTCTGAAATCAATAAAAATATATATTTTTTAAAATCCCTAGCTGGTTTGGCTCAGTGGATAGAGCGTCGGCCTGTGAACCAAAGGGTCCCGGGTTCGATTCCAGTCAAGAGCAAGTAAGTACCTTGGTTACAGGCTCCTCCCCGGCCCGGGACCTGGTCAGGGCTCGTGCAGGAGGCAACCCATCGACGTGTTTCTCTCACGTCTTTCTCTCTCTTCCACTCTTTCTAGAAATCAATGGAAAAATATCCTCGGGTGAGGATTAACAAACAACAACAAAACAAAAAAATCAGAAAGACACAAACTCCAGGGACTTTCCAACTTTGGCTCCCTACGGCCTTCACTTGCCATCTCAATTCTGAAATCTAAACTCCAGTACCCAACCCACCGACTTAATTTCTCATCATTAGGCCACTGCCCAAATATCACCTCCTCCAAGGCCTTTCTGACTTCTGTCTAAATAGAGCACATACAAAAAAATTAAAAATAAATAAATAGAGCACGGATACCCTGCTTTATTACCCACATTTATTCTTTTCTTTTAATGCTTTAGTTGTTTATATGCTTATTGTCTGTCTCCTCCCCTCTCCAAGTATATAAGCCCCATGAAGGCAGGAATTATCTCTAATTTATTCAATGCTGTGTCTCCAATTGAAGCAGAGTAACAGGCACTTACTAGCTGCTCAGTAAACATTTGACTGACTGGCCCGTGGCCTTCTGTCAGTTCCTGAAACTCACCACTTTCCTAACACAGGGCCTTGGCACATACTGTTTTCTCTGCCTAAAATATTCCCACCTTCATTCTTCACCTGACAAAGTCCTTCTCAGCCTTCCACATTACCTCCTCAGAGAAACTCCCTGGAACTCTCTCCCTCACCCCAGAGCCTGCTGCAGTTCTATTTTTTCTTAATATTTTTATTGATTACAGAGAGGAAGGGAGAGGGAGAGATAAAAACATCAATGATGAGAGAGAATCACTGATCGCTGCCTCTTGCACGCCCCCTACTGGGGACTAAGCCTACAACCTAGGCATGTGCCCTGCCAGGGAATCGAACTGTGACCCTCTTGGTTCACAGATCCACGCTCGACCACTGAGCCACACCGGCCGGGCCCTGTTGCAGTTCTTCACACCACATCGCATATACTCTTCCATTGTGTGTTTATGCACATGATTTAATTAACATTCGTCTCCTCAAGTTGACTATCAGCTCCATAAAAAGAGGAACCCTCCCGACCAGTGCAGAACACCCCCTTTCCACATCAGCCTCCTCCCCCTTCGGCTCTGGGGACTGGTTCTGACCCTTCCTATGTCCCCATCCAGCAGCACCTCCTGGCGAACTCCTCTCTCCCAGCCTGGATCCCACAGCCTGTCACTTGACTCTCTTTGGCAACACTCTCAACACTCCCGCCTCCCCGTCCTGAGGCCACATTGCCCGACCAACACCCAGCCTAGAACCATTGGCTCCTTTCTGGGCTGAAAACTACACTTCCCATGAGCCTCTGGGCCCATTTCTGTCTTGCTAGCTAGAAACATATCCTGTCACCCTCGTGGCTCTCTCATAGCTAAAAAGAACACTCCAATTTACCTCTGAGGCCATTTTCTTCCTTCTGATTCTGAGATGGACCCCCGTTCGGGCCCAAGAACTACCTCTGTGGGATGAGAACCAGCCTTCCCATGAGCCTCTGGGGCTCCACTCAACCTTCCCTGGAGTTTCTAGACCTACAACTGCCTTTCCCATGAGCCTCTGGGGCCCAGCCAATCTGACCAGAAGGCCATTATTCCCACGAATATTTTTTAAACTGTTTTAAAAATAACTTTTATTGATTTCAGAGAGGAAGTGAAAGAGACAGAAACATCAATGATGAGAGAGAATCAATGATTGGCTGCCTCCTGCATGCCCCCCACTGGGGATCCAGCACAGGCTGGCATATGCCCTGACCGGTAATCGAACCGTGACCTCCTGGTTCATAGGTTGATGCTCAACCACTGAGCCACGCCGGCCGGGCCCCATGGACATCTTCCAGGCCTTTCACACTCATCAAGTCTCATGCTGAGCTCATTTTTTCCCAAACCCATTCCTCCCACAGGTTGCACATCTGTGGACAGTCCCACCAACCCCAGTCACCAGCCAGAGCCCAGGCGCTGTCCCTGCCTCCTCCCTCCTCCTGATTCTCCTGCCCCATCCCCTCCTCACTCTCCCATCACAGACCTAGTCTTCCTCTCAGTCCATCACCCCCCCCCCCTCCTGCCTGGGACTCAAATCCAGACAGCCCGGCTCCAGAATGGATGTGCACAAGGGAGCTGGGAGCCGGGTGGGGGGTGAGGAAGGCCTGTAGGAGAGAGTGGAGGAGGGGGACAGGTGCTGATGCAGGACAGAAAGTACTCACTCTGGAACATTCCAGGCGGTCCCAGAGCCCCCTGACCAAAACTGGAAAAGCTCAGAGGCCTGGAAACGAGACAAAGGGGGACAGCCAGTTAGTCCCCGGTTGAAACCAACCCTCCCCCCCCACCACCCTCCAGCCTTGCACCCACAGTCCCCAACCCAGGCCACCTGAGGACCAGCGGGACCCAGTTTGGCCTGCAGGGAAGGTGCTGAGATGAGCTGGGCCGAGGACATGGTGGCCATTGTCTGGAAAGCCTTATCCTTGGAAACCTGGTCCTGGAGGAAGCGTTGAGGGTCCATGTTAACGGGGTTTCCAGTGGACACAGCAAGGGCGGGGACAGTGACAGGGTGGGCAGGGTAAGCACCGGGAGGCTCAGAGATGGGAGGTCATGGTAATGGGCTGGGGAGGGTCCAAATCCCTCTCACTACAGCCCCTTATCCCTCAAGAATGTCTGGGGTAAGGGAGTGGGTGGGAGGATGGGCAGAGGGACTTACCACATTCAGGGCCTGCCCATGGGGGAGGGAGCCAAAGAAGGAAAGAAAACAGGATTTAGGAAGTGAGGCCTGGGCACCCCACCTTGCCTCCCTGACAACCCCTGTAGCCCACCACCCTGAGCAAAGCAATGAGAGGAAAGCGAAATGAAGGGTGACTATAGAATGGGGGAGAGGGGTAGGCCTGGAAGGGGAAAGAAGTTCCCAATGTCCAGAATAAAAGACAGTCATGAGGATTTCTAGGTCAATAAAGCGCCGGAAGTGAAGGTTTCCGGATATACAGGCAACAGGAAATGAGAATTTTGAACCCAGAGGGAATAGGCAGTGAGCGTTTCCTCGCTGAGACAGGACAGAGGGGAGCAGTGAACTCCAGAAAAGACCAGAGAGCCCTGGCCAGTGTGGCTCAGTTGGTTGAGTATCGTCCCGTGCACCAGAAGGTCGCCGGTTCAATTCTCAGTCAGGGCACATACCCTGGGAGGCTATTGATGGATGTTTCTCTCTCTCTCAAAAATCAGTAAAAAATAAAGTGTTTAAGAAAGAAAGAAAAGCTCTGGCTGGTTTGGCTCAGTGGATAGAGTGTCCGCCTGCAGACTGAAGGGTCCCAGGTTCGATTCCGGTCAAGGGCATGTACCTTGGTTGCGGGCACATCCCCAATATGGGGGTGCGGGAGGCAGCTGATCAATGTTTCTCTCTCATTGATGTTTCTAACTCTCTACCTCTCTCCCTTCCTCTCTGTAAAAAAATCAATAAAATATTTTTTTTTTAAAAAGAAAGAAAGAAAAGACAGAAGGGAAGGTGTTTAGATCCAGAGAGAAAGGAAAGGGAGGCTTCTGGGTACAAAAAAAAAGGAATAGGGCCCTAGCTGGTTTGGCTCAGTGGATAGAGCGTCGGCCTGCGGACTGAAAGGTCCCAGGTTCGATTCCGGTCAAGGGCATGTACCTTGGTTGCAGGCACATCCCCAGTAGGGGTTGTGTAGGAGGCAGCTGATCGATGCTTCTCTCTCATCGATGTTTCTAACTCTCTATCCCTCTTCCTTCCTCTCTGTAAAAAATCAATAAAATATATATATTTTTTAAAAAGGAATAGGAAGTGATGGTCCCCAAATCCAAAGAAAGAGGCAGATAAGACTCCCTACTCGGAGGAGTAGAAAATGAGGGTCTGTGGCCAAGAGGGAACCAACCGGAAATCCAGAGGATGGAGAAAAGAAAGGGGATGTGAAAAGCTCCAGAAGGACATGACGATATCTGGGCACAGGAAGAACAGGCAGGCCACACAGGGACCGGAAATGGGAAGATGGATCAGAAGGAGACCTTCACAGCACAAGAGGGAAGGGCGACGAGGGCGCCAGGAAGAGCACAGGAAGGACAGGAGGGGAGAGGAGGGAGGCGGGAGGCAGCAGTAGCCGGAGGAGAGGCCGGACACCCCATTCTTCTTGCCTGCCCCAAGCGAGACCTCTGTGCCCCTCTCTCTATGGATCTTTCCCTACCCATG